AACAAACATCCTGGAGACAACTGGAAGTGTCATGAAGATTATTGTATATAGGTTTTTTTGGCCTGTTGAGCCACATAGGAAGTGGTCAAAGGGTAAAACTGTGTACATTAAAGAACAACGCTGACCTTGTTTGTTTGTTTTTTTTGTTTTTTTGCTGTTGTTGTTATTGTTGTTTTTTAAAGCCGAGAGCTAATATTTATAAAATAGGAAGATTTATTGTTTAAAAAGCGCAGGCTGCATTTAATTTTGGGAGTCAGGGTTTGTTATCAGAGACCTTCATACCCTTCAAAATAATTTTATTTTTAATACATGGGGCTTTTTTTAATGAGAAAACACTGTAGGCAATACACATGAACTATATATTTCTAAGGAAATATTCATTCTTGCATTTAGCAGACTTTGTGCCTTCTATATCCTCCTGTTTGAGATAGACTGCAGCAGCACAGATTGAAATTCCTTGCAGCGTAGGACATGCATGGCGCACTGTCCCGCGTCCTGCTAGGGTTCTCAGCCTTTCAACATGTTTAAAAAAACTGCATTTTGTTGCAGTCTGTTTGTTTGTTGCACACAGTCTGTGTGTTGATGTCACATTTGAACAAACCCAGAAACAGAAACTTTTTTTTTAGTAAAGTAATAAAAAGGGGGAGAGTGTCATCAGAGCTTATACAATAACATTTGTAAACATCCACTCTATACGCGTTAGAGTCTCTTATAAACAGCATTTCTAAACTGTCAGGAAACAGTTTTTAATAAAATATATATGAATATAAAACGTATCCTCTTGTCTTCATTTCTGTGATTAAAAGCAGTGGCTATTTGGTGCCACAGTCATTAGCGCTGTCACCTCACAGCAAGAAGAGTCTGAATCCACCTACTGGTTAGGTTCTTTGGGTCCTCTGCCTTCCTTCCACAGTCCAAAGACATGCATCTTAAGTTAAATAGTGATTTATAAATTGTGTGAATGTAAAGGTGAATGGCTGCCTGTCTAAGTTAGACCTGCAACATACCAGGGAGGTCCTGAGAACGTTCTGCTCTGACATTCAGTCATGCATCTATTTTAAGGCCCAAGATTTTTCTTAAATTACGAATCTTACATAGGTGCTTAAAAACCTGATTTTCTTCAATTTCATGAAAACTGATCTTCTCTGAAGTGGCAGGTTTATTTACAACAAAGTGTTTCACAATGCTTGAGGCAGAAGGTTTCCAGTTAGTGAATTTGTCTAGATTCACAATTCTCTGTCAGATTTCTTTTAGGCTTCTACACAGAAGAGAATAGGGGTAAGTTAAACAGAGTAAAACAAAGCAAACATACAAGCAAAGAGAGGCAGCTTCACAAATGCAGTTATTTCAATGATCCGGCATCAACTGACGTTCTTCATTAACCTCCAGGTCCTTGGAGTTGGAGGGTGAGGACCCAGGAGAAGAGCTCAGGAAAGAGCAGTAAGGAGGAGAGGGAAAGAAAAAAGGAGGACTAGGAGACCGTGATGAGAATGTCCATCTTACTCAGGCTTTTTGCTTTAGACTTTTCATTTTGGATCATTCTATGTGCAGAAATGTGCTTAAATCCCTGAAAACTGTTAAACTCACCACAGATATTCATTTACTGGCTGTAATAGCAACATTTCATGGTTTCATGAATTGTGTTCATCTTGCACCCAACCACTTTTATCCAATACTACTTTAAATTCTGCTCTAATACAAAACCAGTACTGATGACCAGAATGCACAAATTCCATACTTGACAACACAATAAAGAACAACAAAAAAATCAGAATGTGTTTGTATGCAAAAGCTCATCTGGAGAGCCAAACTCCTCGATGAGGGCTTCACTCATTTTCTTGATAATGCATGATGGTGCATGTTTTTCTTAAGAGCACTCAGATATTATGTGCTTGTGATGTTATCTACAACCACATCTGTAAGACATCTGATGACGGCTTTCATTTCGTCAAAATTCAAAATGCCTCACCTTCAGGTATGAAGTATTTAGGAATATTATTAAAACCCGACTTGGAGGATATTATGCTTTCAAATGTGGAACCTCTCCTCCTAAAGATAAAAACAAATCTGGATAAATGGGGTAAATTGAATCTTACACTATGGGGTAAAATTAATGTGATTAAAATGATGGTGGTCCCACAGTTCAATTATGTTTCCATGATGTTACCTGTACGAATTCCTTTGCACATATTTGGTCAAATTGAGAAGTTAATCAAAGATTTTTTGTGGAATAACGAGAAGCCGAGAGTGAATATAAAGAAAATGTGGGCCTCTAAAGACATTGGGGAATGGCCCTCCCAAATGTGAAGTTGTATAATTTAGCTTTTGAATTGTCAAGACTGGCCAAATACTGGACAGGATCGGGCTCTGAGCTGAGCTGGATGAAGATCGAACAGGAACTAGCGAGCCCCTTCACACCTTTGGATGTTCTCTCGCAGGGCGCGGCAACTAATGGACAAGACTCTCATGATAACCCAGTGCTCAGGTATTCCAAAGCTGTCTGGGTGGAGGTGCACAAGTTGTGTGGAGCATCTCATCTAAGACAACCTTATGCCTCGCTATGGAACAATATTGCTGTAAGGGTTGGGCGGAAAACTGTGTTCTGGAAGGAATGGCTTGTCAAAGGCATACGCAGGATAAGTGATCTTTACTCAGGGGGAGTGTTTATGTCATTTGCTGAAATAACCCGAAAATACGGTTTGATAAGAGAAAATAATTTTTGGAAATATTTACAAATAAGGGATTGTGTTACCAAAGGAAAATTTGCTCAAAGCTCGAATATGGTGGTGGAGTTTTAGAATTGTCCAGTACAGCACATAGGGCAGCGGTTTTCTACAAACTGTTTAACAATCCAAAAAAGAGATATGTGAAAACTTGAGGGTTATATGGCAGAGGGATCTGGGTTGTGCAATTTCTAAAGAAGACTGGCGCAGAATTTTGTCATTCTCTGATAAATATATAAGAGAGGCCAGGGGTAAATTTACTCAGTATAAATTAATACACAGGTGGTACTTCACTCCATCCAAACTTTATAGAATGGGAATTAGTCCCAGTAATGTATGCTGGAAATGTAGATCAGATCCAGGGACATTTATGCATGCTATTTGGGAATGTGGGAAAGTTTATCCCTTTTGGCAAAAAGTATTGGACAAAATAGGAAGGTGGATTGTTTTGATGATACCCCTGTCACCAAGACTGTGCTTATTAGGGGATCGGTCAGTATTACCTGGGGTTTCAAAATATGACTTTGTGGTTATAAAGGTGGGGGTGATCGCAGCGGCTCGAGTTATTCTCAGTGTATGGAAGGAACCGTCTCCTCCAGAATATAATAGGTGGAAAGAAACTATGCTGAAAATGGTGTCGTATGAAAAACTCTTGGCTAGGATTAATGATGATAGGGAGGGTTTTGACAAATCGTGGGGACGTGTTTTTGGCTGAGATGGTTGGAACTTATTTGGTCAGGGCAATTATCTTTAGTCATGTTGTACGCTTGCTGCACTGTTTGTTTGTGTAGGCACTCAGTAAGGGAATGACTTAAAGATTTGAGTTAACTGATTTGAGGTTTGTTTTTGTTTTTTTATTATATTTTATATTTTTTTTGTTTTTTTTTCTCTTGTTGTTTGTTGGTTGTTTTGTTTGTTTTAGTGTTGTGAAATGTTAAAAACAAATAAAGACTTCAAGTATAAAAAAAAAAAATTCAAAATGCCTTTTGTGTGGAATATGCATTTCTTGAGGATCTTCATGATCCAAGAAATGCAGTCATTGGCAATTCTCTCAGCAGCAAGAAGTGATATCAAACTTTTAGGGGGATCCTCCTGTAAGTTCTTAGAGGTTGATGGCTGACTTTGACCTTCTGTAGGCCCAGTGTCAGTGATTGGTTCAGGCTCAGGGCTTTGTTCTGGAGGTTGGTCCTGCTCTAGTACACTTCACACAGGAGACGGTTTTATTTTTGGGAGGAGAATCTGGACTTGACTGTGGTTCACACAGTCTGTCACTTTCTTTTTCCTCTGTTGGGGTCAGTGCTCTTAAAATCACATCCTGGATGTCTTCCATGACACGAGAACGTTTTACTTTGGACGGTTTGATCCAAAGCATCATTCTGTAACCACACTTTTGCATGGAGTCTTCAACAGTCACGTAGACGACTTCAAAAGAAAAGGGTAACTCATCTGTTTGCTCTGGAGACCTAGAGATTACCGTGTCTGAAAGATTTCTTCCCGGTAGCATCATAGGGAGTAAATATCTTTGAGTCGACTGGAGGTAGTCATTTTATCTGTCAACTCCCTGTGAAAAGTCTCAATTTCAGCACTTGTCATTATGTTCTTGGGGGTTTCTGGATAAGGTTAAGGTGCTCTGCCCGGGTTAATTTATTAAACAGTTGATCAATATTAGGTTTGATGGTGTTAAAATGGTGTTAAAATCAACTTATTCGTACACACACATTCACATTCAACAAAGACCAAAGCACGAGTGCTCAAATTAATGTGGTTTCTAAGTTAATACATCTGCGTCCCATAAGGAAAGAATATAAACATCAGTAAAGCTTTTTTCAAATCGTCTCTCCCTCTTGTAGTGGACATCGGATCTTGCTTAACCTCCTAGGACCTGGCGTCCACATATGTCACATTTTGGGTTATTTAGACCAAAATACTAAATTTTGCTCTACAAGGGCCTGATGTCCACTTACGAGAACAATATACTGCCTCTGTTTTATCAAAATTTTAAACGAATATCCTCATATGTGGCTCTCATTTTTCTTAGAAACAAAATTCAGGTAAAAAAATAAACAAATCTCGTGATTCTTTGTTTTTACATTCGTCAGGTCCCAATTAGCCCAAATTTCAAAGAGAAATTAAAAATCCATGCCATGGAAGAGTTCGGGTCTTAGGAGGTTAAAGACCAAGTTATGTGACGTAATCCTGCGGAGCGAGAGAGAGAGAGAGAGAGAGAGAGAGAGAGAGAGAGAGAGAAGATGGAACTGAAGTTCTGGGCCTTGTTTCCCCCGACCGAACGGTCCGTCCTAGTAATCTTTCCGTCTTAAGATGGCGGGGTATGGAAACCTTGTCCGAAGGGCTTTGGGGCAGATAGGAGGTCATGGAGGAGTCCGGGGTTTTTTGCTCCAGCTGTTCAGGTGAGTTTAACCCCTGGAGGGTCTTGGGTCGATTTGTGGCTCTAAGACCAATAGTGTATGCATTTTTCTAGGACCCTCCAGGGGTTAATAAGACGTGTGTGCCGTCTGTGTTTATCCGCTGGAGGTGAAAGATAAGGGTTAAATGCGGCAGAAGAGAAGCGGGGATTTGGAGAGCTAGCTGATGTTAGCATGCTGTAAAGGACTCCTGATTAGCTAGACATTAAGAAAATGGTGTAAAGTCCATTAAAGGGCTTGAGGAAATGTGTGAAAACTATCAAAACTTTAGGACTTTAAAGGTGATTCGTTTTCAAAATAAGGTTATGTAAATGCTACATGATGTTGTGTTTATGACCTGCAAGTTTTGGGGAAACTAACGTCTGTCTTCCTATTTTATTGGCAGAGTGAATGATATAAAAACGGGCACACTGGTCGGTGTGGATAAATATGGAAATAAATACTATGAGGACAAGAAGCATTACTTCTTCGGTGAGTCAAATTAATTTCAGAGCGCTATAGTAACTGTTTCACGTCTACAGATCTTTCTGTTATCTGGTTTCACTCATCCTAATGTTTGCAGTCAGGGTAGTTTAAGGTGGGTATCAACTTGCTAAATCAGTCTGGGATTTACTGATCCAGCCGTGATCTTTTCACGTTTATTTATATTTTACTAGGAAAATGGAAAATTAGGTGCAGCGATTTATTGCAACATGTGCAAACATACATGTAAATTAGGGGTGCAACGATATTCGTATTGATATTGAACCGTTCGATACAGTGCTTTCGGTTCGGTACGCATATGTATCGAACAATACAACATTTGTAATTTATTTTATCAACTTTCCTTCTGAAGATGCTGTCTGTGTTGAGCGCTCAGTGAATCTGTGTTCGACTACTCCGCCTAGGCTGCACTGTCGAGCGCAGATCCACTGAGCGCTCAACACAGACAGCATAGTCAGAAGGAAGAGCGCAGGGCAAGCTAGCAAGACAGAAGTTAAGCTCCCCCACCCTCATTCAGATCTGGCGTTTGGAATTATTTTGGTTTTCATGTGACGTATGACCCTGAAGGTAAGCTCATGGACTAAAGTAAAACAGTATGTTGGCTGTGCCATGCAATGCTCAATTACATGGGTGGGAGCTAGTGTGTTAGCGCAGTTAGCTCGTTAACGTGTTGGCCGTCTAGCCCACGCACGGGGCGATCGGCGGTAGCTCGTTAACGGAGATTTGCCGTGTTGTGGCGTTAAGGTCATTTCAACGAGATTAACCTGAAAGCACTAGTGGGAACACAACGAATATGACTGCACATTTACGCCGACATCATCCTAGTGCAAAGACAAAAACAACAAGCATGCTACTAACTTTAGCCGAGTCATTTAGACAGCTGTTAGCACATGATTCTCCTTATGGGGACCTGATATGTTTAATATGCTGTGGGCTAAATGTTTTATCCCCACTCCTGAAGACCTTCTATGACTCTGTGGTGGCTTCTGCTATCTTTTATGGTGTGGTCTGCTGGGGCGGCAGCATCTCTGCTGGGGACAGGAAGAGACTGAACAGGGTGATCCGAAGGGCCAGCTCTGTTCTAGGATGCCCTCTGGACCCAGTGGAGGTGGTGAGTGACAGGAGAATGGCGGCTAAGCTGTCATCCCTGTTGGACAACGTCTCCCACCCCATGCAGCAGACTGTGACAGCACTGAGCAGCTCCTTCAGTGGGAGACTGCGGCACCCACGGTGTGGGGCGGAGAGATTTCGCAGGTCTTTCCTCCCCACTGCTGTCAGACTCCACAACAAAGACTTTAACTGAACAAACACACACATCCACACATGTGCAATAACACTAAGTGCAATAATCTTTTCTGGCATCGTTGTATTTTTACTCAGTTGTATATAGCATTCGTATTCTATTTTTATCTTATTGTATATTTTTATTCTATTTTATTCTACTGTATATAGTATTTTATTTTATTCTATTCTGTACAGCTGTGTACTGTATTTATTCTTATTGTATTCTAATTTTTGCGTCATAACTTTTGCACTGTCCACTTCCTGCTGTGACAAAACAAATTTCCCACGTGTGGGACTAATAAAGGTTATCTTATCTTATCTTCAAGACTTTTTCACAAGTTCCTATATCTCACTGAAATGTTACTCTGTAGCTGATTTCTCGTATTTTAAGTGTGATGAGAAATTTTGACTAGAAACAAGACAAATATACTTGATAAGAGTTTGAGTTTTTGCAGTGTATATGCAGCTGATTGATTTGGTCTTTAACCAACATGGAATCATTTATGTTGGGCAGCTGTGGCTATGTGTACTAATCAGTGCTTCAGTCCACACGTCAAAGGGCAAGATACTGAACCTTCGATTGTCCCCAATGCATTTGGGTGTGAATGAAATGTATGACTATGACTTCTAGTTCAAAAAGGGCTATTTATGTATTTAAGTCCAGTTGTTGCTCATTCACTGTTACCTTGAACGAGTCATGCTATCACCACTCTGTGTAACAGATATTTCCTATATAAGCAAATATGTTTTACACTATTTACCTACTGAAATGAAATGACTGAATGTATCAAACATACATTTTGCTCTTACTTCACATTTTAATATTTTTAATGATAACATTATTAGGTTTTTAATGTCCCTTACTGCAGAATAAAGATTTCTTATGAAAGTTTGGTTTTGTTTTGTTTTTATCTTTAGCTCCATTCTAAGAAAATGACCAGTTTCAAGTGTCCTCAGTGTAGGACACATACAGGATGCCATGCTGAAATGTAAAGCACTTACAATAGAAGCCACTAGAAACAAATTATTCCAGCCTAATTGATGACATTTATGGCATTTGTTTTCTGTGCTGACTGATATGCTGCTCAGTGCTTTGCTGCCTGCTTTTAAATCAGATGTCACTCTGAACATAAACACAAGCTACATGTGATGTCTCTGATGTGTATCTGTTTTACCCGTGCTGATGCTAGCATGACTAAAGCTAGCCAAGCAGCAGTAAATATGTGAAGTAAGGCAGAAGGATATACTCATCAAACAAACAGGATCATAAGAATATAAAACCACGAGCACTACAAATGTAACAGAAATATGTTGACATAAAATGGCATGTTATTTGAAATCTACACGAAACAATGACACAACTACTTTTTTTTCAATTTTTTCAATTTATTTATTTTTTACCAATTGTCCAAATTAGTCTGTGATTGGCCTTAGTGTGACAGAAATCATATTTATATACAACTAAATATGACTCAGCAAACATGTTTTAAATGGATGATTCCTCACTTGATGACGAATGATCCATTTCCATATTTGCTGAGTCTTAAATTTGATGTCAGTGAACTTTTCAGTGGTTGGTGTTAAAAAAAAGCCCCCAAATCCCCTATGAGCAAGCACTTGGCGACAGTGGAGAGGAAAAACTCCCTCTTAATAGGGAGAAACCTCTGACAGAACCGGGCTCAGGAAGGGGTGGCCTTCTGTCTTGACCGAGAGGGGTTCAAATGTTCACTGACAATTTAGTTGTATATAAATATGATTTTTAGGACTTGATGTTGACACCAATTATATGAAATTGGGGACGCGCACAGTTCCGCTTCTTCTTGTTCTTCTTCTTCCTTGGCGGAATCTCTGGCAGGCTCTTGACTTCAGTCTTGAGTTCAGCCACCTTGACATTGAGCATTTTCTGTTTGTCTTGTACACTTTGCAAAGATTCCTGTACAGAAAATGCAGCTGACTCTTCTTTTTCTATCTTCTGTTGTTCTGTGGTGTCTTTTTCTTTCTGAGGCTCCTGCAGAGACCTTGCAGTGGATGGCAGTGAGTCCTCTTTTCCATCTTGTCCTGTTCTCCAGTCTCGTTTTCTTTCGGAAGCTCAAATTTGTGCATTTCATTTGCAGCAGTGGAATTTTGTTCTTTGTGCTGCTGTGGGATTTTAAGTGAGGAAGCTTTGGCCCCTTTCAGCTCTCGCTCCAGAGACTCTAGCTTCAAATCATGAAGGGCCTTGTTGGGGCAGAGCTGGGATTTCAGGTCACTGATTTCCAGGTTGAGTGTCTCCTGCTCCTGCCTATGTTTAACGGCCTGCTCTTCAAGCTGATTTTGAGCTGCTAGGAGCTGTTTCTGGAGCATCTCAATCTGCTCTTGCTGAATCCTACATTTGAGCTCAAATTCAGCCTCCTTAGAGGACTTCAGTCCTACAGAGTCAGTGTGTGAAGCCTCTGTGGTTGGAGTGGCAGACTCCACACACTGCTCTGTGGTAGGGTGGCTGATTTGGTCCTGCAGGGTAGCAATCACCTCATCCAATATGACCATAGCTTCATTGTCACTCACGAGAGTGTCTGTCTCACTGATGTCATAGGGCTTATTACTAGAAGCCTCTTCCAGCTGCTCTATGAGGCCTTTGATCGTTTCCTCGTGATTTTGCTCGTTCTCGTGAATTTCTTCACGAAGTTTGTTCACCTGAAGCTGGTGATAAGAGGCCCTCTTGTTTGCACCTACCATTTTACCGTAAAGGTCGTTCTGATGGTGTTGGGAGGCTTCCAGTTGGTGTCTGAGAGCAGCAATCTCGTGCCAGGGATTAAACGGGGGTCTAAATGTGGGAATGGGTTGATATTCCCAAGTCCCTCCATTAGGCACAGGGTTTGGTCTCCTGGGGTTCTTCCCATTTCTCTCTCTCTCCATGTCCTCCTTTGCATTTGAAATGGGGAGCATTTCTTCATTTTTTGGGTTTGCTCCATCAGCCGTGCTGTTTTGAGCTTCAAGAAGAGCCCGGGCATATGCCCGAGTAATTGCTCTTCTTGGTTCTTCAGCCACTCTTTTCTGTTTTTGCTTTTTTGGTTTCTTTGGTTTCACAACCGTTTCCTTTGGTGGTTGTGCCACAGGAGACTTTTTAGTATTTGGTTGTGCGGCTTTATCAACCTCAGGTTTTGGTGTGATGACCATTTCTATTTTTGCTTCTGCCATTGTAGATGCGTCAGCGTGTGCGTTTCTCTGCGTCCGCCTTGTCTTTGTTTTAACAACCAGGTTGCTTTGTGTTTCTGCCATCCGAGATCCACTAAAGTCGGTTGAACGTCTCCCCTATTTATAGGGTTTTCCAGTAGAATGTGCACTGTGACATCACAGGCTGTTCCTGTGATGCGCTGTTCCTTTGAAGTGCCATGATTGGAACAATTCAAAATAAAATGCCCACAAACCTAATGTAAAGGAAAGGCTTTTATTTTGTAGCACATACTGAATTAACACTATAAAAGCTACTCTACAGGAATTGCAGTAAAAAATAAAACAAAAGCAAAATATGTTTTTTTAAATGGTTGTTAAAAAAACTAACCAAAGTAGAAGACAACTGTTTAGTGGAAAGTATTCGACATTCTAGAGATTCTCAGGCATAATAATTCTTTCATAATTTAAACAAGGACAGGTAGAAAACGTTCATATTTAGTGAAAGATATTTATTAACATTATCCAATGAGAGTTACTGAATGTCTGTAGGCAGTGAGATCTTGGTGGTTGATGAGGCGACAGAATGTCATCTATGTTTGGTTTTAAATTCAGTTTCAATGCTGAATCTAAGAAACAACAGACTGCAGAGGGAGACTTTAATAGAGGTTTACTAACTCTTACTATCATATACATTGTGGAAAAATCTGTCTTTATTTAGCATAATATATTTGTTATAAGCACTAAATATGTTTTATGATTAACTGATGAACACTAACGTACCAAGCTGAAACTTCAGCTCACCAGTCAGCAGCTTATATTCACAAAAAACAGATAAATCTGCGATCCATGCAACTCTAACCAGCCAACAAAAACATGTGTTCATAATACAAAACAAGTTTACTTTGTGAAATGTTAAAAGGTACAAAAAATAAAACAATAAAATAAAACAATATGTTTTATGTTTTCTGCAACCATGTTCTAACCGTTTTGTGCTAGTTCTGGTCGTTTTTCTTAGTTTATTTCTACTTTTTTCACGCGTGTCTGGGGACCCAGAGCAGGGATCCTTTGTTTACAGTAAGGATCAGCTGTTAGCGCTGCGTCCCGCAGCGGTACTGCCGGCGGACAGACCCGACATTCCCAGCGAGCTGAGGAGGAAAAGACGGGGGTGTCGTGCTGGGAAGGAGCGCCGTCGCCCGAGAAGGAGACGTTATCGACCATCTCTTCCTTCTGTAATCATTGGAAACGTAAGATCTTTGCCCAATAAGATGGATGAGCTCATGTCGCTAACCTGGTCACAGAGGGAGTACCGGCAATGTAGCATCATGATGCTAACGGAGTCGTGGCTAACATCGCTAACTCCGGACACAAGCGTGACACTACCGGGATTTCAGATGCTGCGAGCGGACAGGACGAGAGAGAGCGGTAAGAGGAAAGGAGGGGGACTGGCAGTTTTTGTGAACGACAGATGGTGTAACCCTGGGCACATCACTGTAAAAGAACAACTCTGCAGCAGAGACATTGAGCTGTTAGCCGTTAGCATGCGTCCGTACTATCTGCCCCGGGAATTCTCGCATGTTATCGCAATAACAGCGTATGTCCCCCCCTCGGCCAACGCGGATGCAGCCTGTGACACTCTCCACTCAGTGGTCAGCAGACTGCAAACACAATCTCCGAGAGCCCTTCTCATAATATCAGGGGACTTCAATCATGCCTCTTTGGACTCCACACTGCCCACCTTCACCCAGTATGTGACCTGCTCAACCAGAGACAATAAAACACTGGACTTACTGTAGGCCAATGCTGAAGAGGCATACAGTTCATCACCTCTCCCTCCACTGGGCAAATCTGACCACAACCTGGTGCACCTTGTCCCTGTGTATGAGCCCTTAGTGCGCAGGGTGCCACCAGCCACCCGCACAGTGCAGAGATGGTCAGAGGAGAGCGAGGAGGCTCTTAAGGACTGTTTTGAGTCGACTGTGTGGGAGGTGATCTGTGACGACCATGGAGAGGACATCGACAGCCTTACTACATGCATTACTGACTATATTAATTTCTGTGTGGATAACACCGTACCTACCAGGACTGTACGGTGTTTCTCCAACAACAAACCTTGGATTACCCCAGAAATTAAAGCTGTCCTCAAGCAGAAGAGGAGGGCCTTCAAATCCAAAGACAAAGAGGAGTTGAAAAGGGTGCAGAGAGAGTTGAGGGGACTGATAAGGAATGGGAAGGACAGCTACAGGCAGAAGATGGAGAACCAGCTTCAGCAAAACAACGTTGGTGAAGTCTGGAGAGGCCTCAGAACCATCTCAGGCCACAAACAGCAGAACTCTCTGCCTGGGAGGGATGTGAGGTGGGCAAATGAACTGAATCATTTCTTCAACAGATTTGATTCAACCATGAGACAGTCTACAACATCGGCTGCAGACTCACCCACCCCCACTGCTGCTGTTCCACCTCTGACACCTCAGACACTTCACACCTCCTCTATTCACCCTGCTCACTCCCCCCCACCCCAACAACAGCATCCAATACACACTCAACACAAGGCTCCAGCCTGTCTCTCTCAACCACCCAGGTTAGGAGGGAACTGAGGAGGATTAATGGCAAGAAGGCAGCGGGTCCAGATGGCATCAGCTCGAGGGTCGTCAGGTCCTGCGCGGACCAACTGTGTGGGGTGATGGAGCACCTCTTCAACCTGAGCCTGAGGTTGGGAAGAGTCCCACAGCTCTGGAAAACCTCCTGTGTTGTACCAGTGCCAAAGACTTCACGCCCCAAGGACCTCAACAGCTACAGGCCGGTGGCTCTGACATCCCACCTGATGAAGACCCTGGAGCGGTTGGTCCTGGCTCAGCTTCGGCGCCTAACAAGCTCATCACTGGACCCACTTCAGTTTGCCTACCAGCCTGGCATTGGAGCGGATGATGCCGTCATTCACCTCCTACATCGTTCCCTCGCTCACCTGGAGACCGCTGGAAGCACTGTGAGAATCATGTTCTTTGATTTCTCTAGTGCCTTCAACACTATTCTTCCCTCGGTTCTGAAGGACAAGCTGGAGAACTCTGGAGTGGACCATCACCTCACTACCTGGATTTTGGACTACCTCACCGACCGACCACAGTATGTGAGGACTCAGGGCTGTGTGTCGGACAGGGTCGTCTGCAGTACGGGGGCCCCACAGGGAACGGTTCTGGCTCCGTTCCTCTTCACCATCTACACTGCAGACTTCTCCCACAATTCCACCCAGTGCTTCCTGCAGAAGTTCTCTGATGACTCTGCAATAGTCGGCCTCATCACTGATGGGGACGACAAGGAGTACAGAGGACTGACTCAAGACTTTGTGGACTGGTGCCAGCTGAACTACCTCCAGATCAACGCCAGTAAAACCAAGGAGCTGGTGGTAGACTTCCGCAGGCACAAGCATTCTCCACTGCAACCACTGAACATCCAGGGTATGGACATTGAGGCTGTGGACAGCTACAGGTACCTTGGTGTTCATCTGAACAACAGACTGGACTGGACTCATAACTCAGACGCCCTCTACAGGAAAGGGCAGAGCAGGCTGTACCTGCTGCGGAGACTCAGGTCGTTTGGGGTGGAGGGCCCACTCCTGAAGACCTTCTATGACTCTGTGGTGGCTTCTGCTATCTTTTATGGTGTGGTCTGCTGGGGCGGCAGCATCTCTGCTGGGGACAGGAAGAGACTGAACAGGGTGATCCGAAGGGCCAGCTCTGTTCTAGGATGCCCTCTGGACCCAGTGGAGGTGGTGAGTGACAGGAGAATGGCGGCTAAGCTGTCATCCCTGATGGACAACGTCTCCCACCCCATGCAGCAGACTGTGACAGCACTGAGCAGCTCCTTCAGTGGGAGACTGCGGCACCCACGGTGTGGGGCGGAGAGATTTCGCAGGTCTTTCCTCCCCACTGCTGTCAGACTCCACAACAAAGACTTTAACTGAACAAACACACACATCCACACATGTGCAATAACACTAAGTGCAATAATCTTTTCTGGCATCGTTGTATTTTTACTCAGTTGTATATAGCATTCGTATTCTATTTTTATCTTATTGTATATTTTTATTCTATTTTATTCTACTGTATATAGTATTTTATTTTATTCTATTCTGTACAGCTGTGTACTGTATTTATTCTTATTGTATTCTAATTTTTGCGTCATAACTTTTGCACTGTCCACTTCCTGCTGTGACAAAACAAATTTCCCACGTGTGGGACTAATAAAGGTTATCTTATCTTATCTTATCTTATCTTATCTTCAAGACTTTTTCACAAGTTCCTATATCTCACTGAAATGTTACTCTGTAGCTGATTTCTCGTATTTTAAGTGTGATGAGAAATTTTGACTAGAAACAAGACAAATATACTTGATAAGAGTTTGAGTTTTTGCAGTGTATATGCAGCTGATTGATTTGGTCTTTAACCAACATGGAATCATTTATGTTGGGCAGCTGTGGCTATGTGTACTAATCAGTGCTTCAGTCCACACGTCAAAGGGCAAGATACTGAACCTTCGATTGTCCCCAATGCATTTGGGTGTGAATGAAATGTATGACTATGACTTCTAGTTCAAAAAGGGCTATTTATGTATTTAAGTCCAGTTGTTGCTCATTCACTGTTACCTTGAACGAGTCATGCTATCACCACTCTGTGTAACAGATATTTCCTATATAAGCAAATATGTTTTACACTATTTACCTACTGAAATGAAATGACTGAATGTATCAAACATACATTTTGCTCTTACTTCACATTTTAATATTTTTAATGATAACATTATTAGGTTTTTAATGTCCCTTACTGCAGAATAAAGATTTCTTATGAAAGTTTGGTTTTGTTTTGTTTTTATCTTTAGCTCCATTCTAAGAAAATGACCAGTTTCAAGTGTCCTCAGTGTAGGACACATACAGGATGCCATGCTGAAATGTAAAGCACTTACAATAGAAGCCACCAGAAACAAATTATTCCAGCCTAATTGATGACATTTATGGCATTTGTTTTCTGTGCTGACTGATATGCTGCTCAGTGCTTTGCTGCCTGCTTTTAAATCAGATGTCACTCTGAACATAAACACAAGCTACATGTGATGTCTCTGATGTGTATCTGTTTCTACCCGTGCTGATGCTAGCATGACTAAAGCTAGCCAAGCAGCAGTAAATATGTGAAGTAAGGCAGAAGGATATACTCATCAAACAAACAGGATCATAAGAATATAAAACCACGAGCACTACAAATGTAACAGAAATATGTTGACATAAAATGGCATGTTATTTGAAATCTACACGAAACAATGACACAACTACTTTTTTTCAATTTTTTCAATTTATTTATTTTTTACCAATTGTCCAAATTAGTCTGTGATTGGCCTTAGTGTGACAGAAATCATATTTATATACAACTAAATATGACTCAGCAAACATGTTTTTAATGGATGATTCCTCACTTGATGACGAATGATCCATTTCCATATTTGCTGAGTCTTAAATTTGATGTCAGTGAACTTTTCAGTGGTTGGTGTTAAAAAAAAGCCCCCAAATCCCCTATGAGCAAGCACTTGGCGACAGTGGAGAGGAAAAACTCCCTCTTAATAGGGAGAAACCTCTGACAGAACCGGGCTCAGGAAGGGGTGGCCTTCTGTCTTGACCGAGAGGGGTTCAAATGTTCACTGACAATTTAGTTGTATATAAATATGATTTTTAGGACTTGATGTTGACACCAATTATGTGAAATTGGGGACGCGCACAGTTCCGCTTCTTCTTGTTCTTCTTCTTCCTTGGCGGAATCTCTGGCAGGCTCTTGACTTCAGTCTTGAGTTCAGCCACCTTGACATTGAGCATTTTCTGTTTGTCTTGTACACTTTGCAAAGATTCCTGTACAGAAAATGCAGCTGACTCTTCTTTTTCTATCTTCTGTTGTTCTGTGGTGTCTTTTTCTTTCTGAGGCTCCTGCAGAGACCTTGCAGTGGATGGCAGTGAGTCCTCTTTTTCCATCTTGTCCTGTTCTCCAGTCTCGTTTTCTTTCGGAAGCTCAAATTTGTGCATTTCATTTGCAGCAGTGGAATTTTGTTCTTTGTGCTGCTGTGGGATTTTAAGTGAGGAAGCTTTGGCCCCTTTCAGCTCTGGCTCCAGAGACTCTAGCTTCAAATCATGAAGGGCCTTGTTGGGGCAGAGCTGGGATTTCAGGTCACTGATTTCCAGGTTGAGTGTCTCCTGCTCCTGCCTATGTTTAACGGCCTGCTCTTCAAGCTGATTTTGAGCTGCTAGGAGCTGTTTCTGGAGCATCTCAATCTGCTCTTGCTGAATCCTACATTTGAGCTCAAATTCAGCCTCCTTAGAGGACTTCAGTCCTACAGAGTCAGTGTGTGAAGCCTCTGTGGTTGGAGTGGCAGACTCCACACACTGCTCTGTGGTAGGGTGGCTGATTTGGTCCTGCAGGGTAGCAATCACCTCATCCAATATGACCATAGCTTCATTGTCACTCACGAGAGTGTCTGTCTCACTGATGTCATAGGGCTTATTACTAGAAGCCTCTTCCAGCTGCTCTATGAGGCCTTTGATCGTTTCCTCGTGATTTTGCTCGTTCTCGTGAATTTCTTCACGAAGTTTGTTCACCTGAAGCTGGTGATAAGAGGCCCTCTTGTTTGCACCTACCATTTTACCGTAAAGGTCGTTCTGATGGTGTTGGGAGGCTTCCAGTTGGTGTCTGAGAGCAGCAATCTCGTGCCAGGGATTAAACGGGGGTCTAAATGTGGGAATGGGTTGATATTCCCAAGTCCCTCCATTAGGCACAGGGTTTGGTCTCCTGGGGTTCTTCCCATTTCTCTCTCTCTCCATGTCCTCCTTTGCATTTGAAATGGGGAGCATTTCTTCATTTTTTGGGTTTGCTCCATCAGCCGTGCTGTTTTGAGCTTCAAGAAGAGCCCGGGCATATGCCCGAGTAATTGCTCTTCTTGGTTCTTCAGCCACTCTTTTCTGTTTTTGCTTTTTTGGTTTCTTTGGTTTCACAACCGTTTCCTTTGGTGGTTGTGCCACAGGAGACTTTTTAGTATTTGGTTGTGCGGCTTTATCAACCTCAGGTTTTGGTGTGATGACCATTTCTATTTTTGCTTCTGCCATTGTAGATGCGTCAGCGTGTGCGTGTGCGTTTCTCTGCGTCCGCCTTGTCTTTGTTTTAACAACCAGGTTGCTTTGTGTTTCTGCCATCTGAGATCCACTAAAGTCGGTTGAACGTCTCCCCTATTTATAGGGTTTTCCAGTAGAATGTGCACTGTGACATCACAGGCTGTTCCTGTGATGCGCTGTTCCTTTGAAGTGCCATGATTGGAACAATTCAAAATAAAATGCCCACAAACCTAATGTAAAGGAAAGGCTTTTATTTTGTAGCACATACTGAATTAACACTATAAAAGCTACTCTACAGGAATTGCAGTAAAAAATAAAACAAAAGCAAAATATGGTTTTTTAAATGGTTGTTAAAAAAACTAACCAAAGTAGAAGACAACTGTTTAGTGGAAAGTATTCGACATTCTAGAGATTCTCAGGCATAATAATTTCTTTCATAATTTAAACAAGGACAGGTAGAAAACGTTCATATTTAGTGAAAGATATTTATTAACATTATCCAATGAGAGTTACTGAATGTCTGTAGGCAGTGAGATCTTGGTGGTTGATGAGGCGACAGAATGTCATCTATGTTTGGTTTTAAATTCAGTTTCAATGCTGAATCTAAGAAACAACAGATTTACTTTATTACTTTGAGGAAAATAAGAAGCTGTCAGCACACTGAGCTGAGGCTTCTGATATCAAAGAGGAAAAAAAATGTTTCAGACAAAAAGTACAAAACTTCTTTTCTTTTATGGATGTTCTGGGACTTTAAGTCTAAACTAAACCCAAAATGACGCCAGAGTCTAGAAAAAAGAAGAAGAAAAGTTCTTCACAACAAAATAAAGCTATGGTTGTATATCCTTGATGAGCTGAAGGTCTGTAATCTGACCCGCTGTTTTTATTCCCTAGATTACCTGAAGAACCTTCCAGAGGACTCTGAAGATTACAAAGACACACAAGGTTAGATAAAGGACATCCCTCACTGCTTCCTGTTTCCACCTTTATGCTGGGCACTTTAACACTGATGCTTTATCTTTGCTGTCCATGCAGCCGCCCTCAGTATCGTGAAGGAGGTGGCCAACCATGCGAATGACATCATGAAGCAAGGGGTAACACCTGATTCCCTTTAAAGCCTTTCAACGTTTTTGCAGTGATGGAAAGCCACTTGAGGTGTTTGGTGGTTTGTTTTTGCAGGATAACTTTCAGAAGCTGATGCAGATTCAGTACAGCCTCACTGGGCACCATGAGATCGTTCAGCCAGGCAGGGTATGTCACTCAAAATGTTATTTTTTTTGCCAACAGCCTTAACAGAGTGGTCTGACAGTGGGAGATTGTTTAAGCAACAGCAACACAAATAAGTAACACAAGCAGCATGCGGTAAGCAAAATTTATGGAGGATTAGGGCCACTGGGAAAAAAAAAGTGGGCACATTTTTTTTTTCTTTTCTAGAATTCTGAGATTAAAGTCTGAATTTTGAGAAAAAAGTCCAAATTCTTTATTTAATCTCAGAAATCTGACCTTAAATTCAGAATTCTGACTTTTTTCTTAGAATTCTGACTCTTGTTTTTCAGAATTTTGAAATTTAATTCAGAATTCAGATTTTCCCCCCTCAGAATTCTGACATTAATCTCAAAATTCTGACTTTTTTCTCAAAATTCTGACATTAATCTCAATATTCTGACTTTTTTCTCAAAATTCTGACTTTTTTCTCAAAATTCGGACTTTTCTCAGAATTCTGGGAAAGAAGAAAAAAAAAAGATGTGCCCACCCCTAATCCTCTTCCGTAAAAATTAGAGCATCATGTCTCCATGCTAACTTGCAGCTGAAATCATGTATGCTTGACTATTACACTGCATGTTCTCAGTGAGAGTAAACTATGGTTAGGTTGTCATAAATGCTGTAAGTGTGCAGAGATAATTACACCGCTGTGGATTATTTGCACGGTGTAACCTTATAATGTATCCGTGTTTGCAGGTGTTTCTGAAGGAGGGCACGCTGATGAAGCTGTCCAGAAAAGTCATGCAGCCACGAATGTTCTTCCTGGTGAGCAACCAGTGAATTCAACACAATCTTCACCATTACACTCACACTGCCTGCCTCATTTTATTGTTTCTGATTGTTTTTTCAGTTTAATGATGCGCTCATGTACACCACTCCAGTCCAGTCTGCCCAGTATAAACTCAACAGTGTCCTTTCTCTGGCTGGGATGAAGGTTAGAGACGGTGGTGGTTTCTTGTCTTTCTTAACTTTCTCATTGCTGACTTTATTACTTAGAGATCCACCAGCAGATCCAAGACCAGCTGAAAACCTGTTTACACCTAGGCCAATCAAACGTTATTGTGAACTGGAAGTGATGTGCGGGCCAGTTGAGCGTAAGAGGTGTGGTGGGACTTGCAGGTTTTGAATTTGCCACAACTGAAATATAAGGTCTTTGCTTTTTATTCAAGGCACTTGCAATAGGATGTAATATGATGCGTCTATAACAGCTTCAACTCTTCTGGGAAGGTTTTTCAGAAGCTTTCGGAGTGTTTGTGAGTTCTGAGATCAGACGTTGATGTTGGATGAGAAAGTTTGGCTCGCATTATCCGTTCTATTTCATCCCAAAGGTGTTCTGTTGGGTTTAGGAACGGTCTCTGTGCAAGCCAGTCAACTACTTCTACACCAAACTCACTCATCCATGTCTTTATGGATCTGCTTTGTGCAAGGGTGCGCAGTCATGTTGGAGCAGGAAGGGGCCATCCCCAAACTGTTCCCACAAAGTTGGGAGCAAGAAATGTCTTGGTATTCATTTTAATTATGAATTATTATTTGATTTTTATTTTATTCGTTTTTAGTTTTTGCCGTTTCGTTTTATCTATTGTTCTTAACTAACTTGCTGTAAGCACTTTGGTCCTGTGTTGGCTTCAAAGTGCTTTGTAAATAAAGTTGGATTGGATTGGATTGGTATGCTGATGCATTACGAGTTCCTTTCACTGGAACTAAGGGGCCGAGCCAAACTCCTAAAAAACAACCCCACATCATAATCCCCCATCCACCAAACTTAACACTTGGCAAAATGCAGTCAGAAAAGTATCGTTCTCCTGCCGACTGCTAAGACTCATCCATCAGATCATTTATCACTCCCGAGCACACGTCTCCACTGCTCTAGAATCCAGTGGCGGTGTGCTTTACACCACTGCATCTGACTCTTTGCATTATTCTTGGTGACGTATGGCTTGAATGAGGCCGCTCGGCCATTGAAACCCATTCCATGGAGCTCTCCCTTCAGTGTTCATGAGCTAACAACAGCCTGAGCAAAATCTGAGTCTGATTTTTAAAAAAAGTCAAAGTCTGAGTAAAATCTTCAATAAACGATTATATAAAGTTTATGAAAGTGTCGTTTCAGCAACAAAACTGAAAAAAAATGTAGTCCTAAAAGCTGCAGTCGGGGGATCTGCTGGGGGTTTTCTTTTAAACCCTCTACTACACATTTACTTGTGTTGCATCTACACTGAAATACTGCCTGTTGTGTGTGCAGCAGCAGCTTCAGTTTACTTGCTTTTGAATTTTTGCAGGTGAGTAAGCCCAGCCAGGAGGCCTATCAGAACGAGCTGAACATCGAGAGCGTTGAACGCTCTTTCATCCTGTCAGCGAGGTAAGCACTCGGGCGAGTACTGCATCAGATTTTGTGCACCCATCGTGAGCTGTAAACTCACGAGTGCTGCTTGTGTTCACAGCTCAGCTACCGAGAGAGACGAGTGGCTGGAGGCCATCGCCAAGGCCATAGACGACTACACGAAGAAGAAAATCACCTTCATATCGAGCCGAAGTCAGGAGGAGGTAAGAACGTGACGTCTATGTGGGTGGACAGTGTGATAACTTCACCTGGTGTGCATCCATATTAACCCGAAGCCTCTCTCGCCGCAGTCGGAGGGGGTCGTTGATAGCGGTGCCCCGTTAGGCTCAAAGGCTCCCATCTGGATCCCAGACCTGAGGGCCACCATGTGTATGATCTGCACCTGCGAGTTCACCCTCACTTGGAGGAGGCACCATTGTCGCGCCTGTGGAAAGGTCTGTATCGCTATAACAACGGCCACTCCGTCACATTTTCTATTACATGACCCTTTTCTCATGGCGGCTCTGTGTGCGTCCAACAGGTGGTGTGTCAGGCGTGCTCTGCCAACAAATACTACCTGGAGTACTTAAAGAACCAACCAGCTCGTGTGTGTGATCACTGCTTTGCAAAGCTACAGGAGAACAGTGAGTACAGAGGAAGGTTGCGCTGGATAACCAGCAGCAGGATGTCTCAGTTTAAGTGTTTGGAAGGATGTGAAAAGGCAAAAAGCGCCAAAGAACTGAGATCTGATGATTTTATAATTTGATACGTACACTTATGGACATTTTCACAGCCTGAAGTCTTAATCAATTAAGGATAAAACTAAATTTCCTATACTGTAGGTTATTTATTTACTTTTTGGTATAACTCCTGTCTTCTGTCCTATTTAGTAACATGTTATCATATTTTAGGTGACCGCTGTGCTTCAACATCAATTTCTCCCATCAAATCTGGAGCTTTCTCCTTCACCAGGAAACAGAAGAAGATTCCTGCTGCACTGAAAGAGGTAAACAGGCTAAATTTATGTCAAATGTGTGATGTTATTTTGCATCTTTGGCATTGCAAGGATTCATTTTTTGCATGTTTACCAGGTGTCTGCCAACACTGAGAATTCCTCCATGAGTGGCTACCTAAACAGGTCAAAAGGCAACAAGAAGCAGTGGAAGAGGCTGTGGTTTGTCATTAAGAATAAAGTCCTGTACACCTACGCTGCCAGCGAGGTACTGTAGCTAAGTGATCTCATGTTTTTCTGTAAGCTGTGCATTTTTGCAGACCTTGAACGCGTATTTTTTCCGTGTAGGATGTGGCAGTGTTGGAGAGCCAACCTTTGCTGGGTTTCTTCCTGAGAGAGGAGAAGAACGGACCCGCTCAGAAGCTGCAGTTCAAGCTGTATCACAAAAACACACTGTTCTACATCTTCAAAGCTGACGACATCCCCACGGCACAGAGGTATCTGACAAATAGTCCAGTAATGTGGTAATATTAGAGATTTTTGTTTGCATTTGTGGTAACTACATGAAACAGGTGTTTGATTCCAGTGTGGTTGTTAATACTGTTAATATCCAGAGAGCAGGCAATGAGCTGATTTCATGTTGCATTTTCACAGCTAACAAACACATTTTAAAACACTCCGTTTGTCCTAATCTGAAGCTGAAATCTAGTCTCTGTTCAGTATAGCTTCAGTATTATGAGATATATCACAATTTCAGTTTCACTTTAGAAAGTGACACTTAGGTAAACATCCACATCACTATGTGGGTTAGGCGGTTTCTTTTCCTACATTTTGATGTCAGAAAATAACATAAATAACTATTGCTTAAACAGATCTTGCTGTGAATAAGATCAAAAAGTTGATCCGAGTGCATTAAAACTCAATAGTAATTCAGCTTATTTTCTGTTTTTGGCATTCTTACTTTCAGATGGATCGAAGCCTTCCAGGAGGCAATGATTCTCGAGCAGTAATCCCCCTTTTTTCAGTAGTGAAGTTGTGTGACAGCCCCGGAGCCAGTTGAAAGACAACTTACGACCCCTGATTGATCACAGGTCAGAGGTCACCAGCTCAGGAAGGACTCCAGGTGGACTGTCTACCTTAAACTGAAGCCTGCTGCAGAGCGTCACAAACTCTGCTTGGAAGCCAGACTCCTTTAGCTCTCCAAGAACTGGTTTTTCTGAACTTATTTTCAGCTTCTGATGCTCAGCGGTGCAAAAAGCGAGTAGCAGCTGCGGGTCAAAGGTCAAGTCCAGAAGCACGTGTGTGGAAGTGAGACCAAACAGTTGACTGGGCTTTTTAAAGTCCCTCGGAAATCCTTGGAAGTCGGAAGTCTGGGGATGATTTTTCAAACGCTGTTGGGCGAAGGAATCCGTGTGAAACAAACTTCATACTGGCTGCACACAAATAACATAAAATACCAATCATGTGTGATTGGCACTAATGTCTGAGGAGAGTTCATATATGTAACAGCATGGGCTTTTAATGTGAAAATCAGGCTTTAACAGAAACAGGAAGTGGACATTCTGCTCTTTAAATGCATCTCTCTGGTCAAGAGATTCTTTAATAACAAACATCCTGGAGACAACTGGAAGTGTCATGAAGATTATTGTATATAGGTTTTTTTGGCCTGTTGAGCCACATAGGAAGTGGTCAAAGGGTAAAACTGTGTACATTAAAGAACAACGCTGACCTTGTTTGTTTGTTTTTTGGTTTTTTTGCTGTTGTTGTTATTGTTGTTTTTTAAAGCCGAGAGCTAATATTTATAAAATAGGAAGATTTATTGTTTAAAAAGCGCAGGCTGCATTTAATTTTGGGAGTCAGGGTTTGTTATCAGAGACCTTCATACCCTTCAAAATAATTTTATTTTTAATACATGGGGCTTTTTTTAATGAGAAAACACTGTAGGCAATACACATGAACTATATATTTCTAAGGAAATATTCATTCTTGCATTTAGCAGACTTTGTGCCTTCTATATCCTCCTGTTTGAGATAGACTGCAGCAGCACAGATTGAAATTCCTTGCAGCGTAGGACATGCATGGCGCACTGTCCCGCGTCCTGCTAGGGTTCTCAGCCTTTCAACATGTTTAAAAAAAACTGCATTTTGTTGCAGTCTGTTTGTTTGTTGCACACAGTCTGTGTGTTGATGTCACATTTGAACAAACCCAGAAACAGAAACTTTTTTTTTTAGTAAAGTAATAAAAAGGGGGGAGAGTGTCATCAGAGCTTATACAATAACATTTGTAAACATCCACTCTATACGCGTTAGAGTCTCTTATAAACAGCATTTCTAAACTGTCAGGAAACAGTTTTTAATAAAATATATATGAATATAAAACGTATCCTCTTGTCTTCATTTCTGTGATTAAAAGCAGTGGCTATTTGGTGCCACAGTCATTAGCGCTGTCACCTCACAGCAAGAAGAGTCTGAATCCACCTACTGGTTAGGTTCTTTGGGTCCTCTGCCTTCCTTCCACAGTCCAAAGACATGCATCTTAAGTTAAATAGTGATTTATAAATTGTGTGAATGTAAAGGTGAATGGCTGCCTGTCTAAGTTAGACCTGCAACATACCAGGGAGGTCCTGAGAACGTTCTGCTCTGACATTCAGTCATGCATCTATTTTAAGGCCCAAGATTTTCTTAAATTACAAATCTTACATAGGTGCTTAAAAACCTGATTTTCTTCAATTTCATGAAAACTGATCTTCTCTGAAGTGGCAGGTTTATTTACAACAAAGTGTTTCACAATGCTTGAGGCAGAAGGTTTCCAGTTAGTGAATTTGTCTAGATTCACAATTCTCTGTCAGATTTCTTTTAGGCTTCTACACAGAAGAGAATAGGGGTAAGTTAAACAGAGTAAAACAAAGCAAACATACAAGCAAAGAGAGGCAGCTTCACAAATGCAGTTATTTCAATGATCCGGCATCAACTGACGTTCTTCATTAACCTCCAGGTCCTTGGAGTTGGAGGGTGAGGACCCAGGAGAAGAGCTCAGGAAAGAGCAGTAAGGAGGAGAGGGAAAGAAAAAAGGAGGACTAGGAGACCGTGATGAGAATGTCCATCTTACTCAGGCTTTTTGCTTTAGACTTTTCATTTTGGATCATTCTATGTGCAGAAATGTGCTTAAATCCCTGAAAACTGTTAAAACTCACCACAGATATTCATTTACTTGTAATAGCAACATTTCATGGTTTCATGAATTGTGTTCATCTTGCACCCAACCACTTTTATCCAATACTACTTTAAATTCTGCTCTAATACAAAACCAGTACTGATGACCAGAATGCACAAATTCCATACTTGACAACACAATAAAGAACAACAAAAAATCAGAATGTGTTTGTATGCAAAAGCTCATCTGGAGAGCCAAACTCCTCGATGAGGGCTTCACTCATTTTCTTGATAATGCATGATGGTGCATGTTTTTCTTAAGAGCACTCAGATATTATGTGCTTGTGATGTTATCTACAACCACATCTGTAAGACATCTGATGACGGCTTTCATTTCGTCAAAATTCAAAATGCCTCACCTTCAGGTATGAAGTATTTAGGAATATTATTAAAACCCGACTTGGAGGATATTATGCTTTCAAATGTGGAACCTCTCCTCCTAAAGATAAAAACAAATCTGGATAAATGGGGTAAATTGAATCTTACACTATGGGGTAAAATTAATGTGATTAAAATGATGGTGGTCCCACAGTTCAATTATGTTTCCATGATGTTACCTGTACGAATTCCTTTGCACATATTTGGTCAAATTGAGAAGTTAATCAAAGATTTTTTGTGGAATAACGAGAAGCCGAGAGTGAATATAAAGAAAATGTGGGCCTCTAAAGACATTGGGGGAATGGCCCTCCCAAATGTGAAGTTGTATAATTTAGCTTTTGAATTGTCAAGACTGGCCAAATACTGGACAGGATCGGGCTCTGAGCTGAGCTGGATGAAGATCGAACAGGAACTAGCGAGCCCCTTCACACCTTTGGATGTTCTCTCGCAGGGCGCGGCAACTAATGGACAAGACTCTCATGATAACCCAGTGCTCAGGTATTCCAAAGCTGTCTGGGTGGAGGTGCACAAGTTGTGTGGAGCATCTCATCTAAGACAACCTTATGCCTCGCTATGGAACAATATTGCTGTAAGGATTGGGCGGAAAACTGTGTTCTGGAAGGAATGGCTTGTCAAAGGCATACGCAGGATAAGTGATCTTTACTCAGGGGGAGTGTTTATGTCATTTGCTGAAATAACCCGAAAATACGGTTTGATAAGAGAAAATAATTTTTGGAAATATTTACAAATAAGGGATTGTGTTACCAAAGGAAAATTTGCTCAAAGCTCGAATATGGTGGTGGAGTTTTTAGAATTGTCCAGTACAGCACATAGGGCAGCGGTTTTCTACAAACTGTTTAACAATCCAAAAAAAGAGATATGTGAAAACTTGAGGGTTATATGGCAGAGGGATCTGGGTTGTGCAATTTCTAAAGAAGACTGGCGCAGAATTTTGTCATTCTCTGATAAATATATAAGAGAGGCCAGGGGTAAATTTACTCAGTATAAATTAATACACAGGTGGTACTTCACTCCATCCAAACTTTATAGAATGGGAATTAGTCCCAGTAATGTATGCTGGAAATGTAGATCAGATCCAGGGACATTTATGCATGCTATTTGGGAATGTGGGAAAGTTTATCCCTTTTGGCAAAAAGTATTGGACAAAATAGGAAGGTGGATTGTTTTGATGATACCCCTGTCACCAAGACTGTGCTTATTAGGGGATCGGTCAGTATTACCTGGGGTTTCAAAATATGACTTTGTGGTTATAAAGGTGGGGGTGATCGCAGCGGCTCGAGTTATTCTCAGTGTATGGAAGGAACCGTCTCCTCCAGAATATAATAGGTGGAAAGAAACTATGCTGAAAATGGTGTCGTATGAAAAACTCTTGGCTAGGATTAATGATGATAGGGAGGGTTTTGACAAATCGTGGGGACGTGTTTTTGGCTGAGATGGTTGGAACTTATTTGGTCAGGGCAATTATCTTTAGTCATGTTGTACGCTTGCTGCACTGTTTGTTTGTGTAGGCACTCAGTAAGGGAATGACTTAAAGATTTGAGTTAACTGATTTGAGTTTGTTTTTTTGTTTTTTTTATTATATTTTATATTTTTTTTGTTTTTTTTTCTGTTGTTGTTTGTTGGTTGTTTTGTTTGTTTTAGTGTTGTGAAATGTTAAAAACAAATAAAGACTTCAAGTATAAAAAAAAAATTCAAAATGCCTTTTGTGTGGAATATGCATTTCTTGATGATCTTCATGATCCAAGAAATGCAGTCATTGGCAATTCTCTCAGCAGCAAGAAGTGATATCAAACTTTTAGGGGGATCCTCCTGTAAGTTCTTAGAGGTTGATGGCTGACTTTGACCTTCTGTAGGCCCAGTGTCAGTGATTGGTTCAGGCTCAGGGCTTTGTTCTGGAGGTTGGTCCTGCTCTAGTACACTTCACACAGGAGACGGTTTTATTTTTGGGAGGAGAATCTGGACTTGACTGTGGTTCACACAGTCTGTCACTTTCTTTTTCCTCTGTTGGGGTCAGTGCTCTTAAAATCACATCCTGGATGTCTTCCATGGCACGAGAAACGTTTTACTTTGGACGGTTTGATCCAAAGCATCATTCTGTAACCACACTTTTGCATGGAGTCTTCAACAGTCACGTAGACGACTTCAAAAGAAAAGGGTAACTCATCTGTTTGCTCTGGAGACCTAGAGATTACCGTGTCTGAAAGATTTCTTCCCGGTAGCATCATAGGGAGTAAATATCTTTGAGTCGACTGGAGGTAGTCATTTTATCTGTCAACTCCCTGTGAAAAGTCTCAATTTCAGCACTTGTCATTATGTTCTCGGGGGTTTCTGGATAAGGTTAAGGTGCTCTGCCCGGGTTAATTTATTAAACAGTTGATCAATATTAGGTTTGATGGTGTTAAAATGGTGTTAAAATCAACTTATTCGTACACACACATTCACATTCAACAAAGACCAAAGCACGAGTGCTCAAATTAATGTGGTTTCTAAGTTAATACATCTGCGTCCCATAAGGAAAGAATATAAACATCAGTAAAGCTTTTTTCAAATCGTCTCTCCCTCTTGTAGTGGACATCGGATCTTGCTTAACCTCCTAGGACCTGGCGTCCACATATGTCACATTTTGGGTTATTTAGACCAAAATACTAAATTTTGCTCTACAAGGGCCTGATGTCCACTTACGAGAACAATATACTGCCTCTGTTTTATCGAAATTTAAAACGAATATCCTCATATGTGGCTCTCATTTTTCTTAGAAACAAAAATCAGGTAAAAAAAAAAAAAAAAATCTGGTGATTCTTTGTTTTTACATTCATCGGGTCCTAATATGCCCAAATATCAAAGAGAAATTAAAAATGCATGCCATGGAAGAGTTCGGGTCTTAGGAGGTTAAAGACCAAGTTATGTGACGTAATCCTGCGGAGCGAGAGAGAGAGAGAGAGAGAGAGCGAGAGAGAAGATGGAACTGAAGTTCTGGGCCTTGTTTCCCCCGACCGAACGGTCCGTCCTAGTAATCTTTCCGTCTTAAGATGGCGGGGTATGGAAACCTTGTCCGAAGGGCTTTGGGGCAGATAGGAGGTCATGGAGGAGTCCGGGGTTTTTTGCTCCAGCTGTTCAGGTGAGTTTAATAAGACGTGTGTGCCGTCTGTGTTTATCCGCTGGAGGTGAAAGATAAGGGTTAAATGCGGCAGAAGAGAAGCGCGGATTTGGAGAGCTAGCTGATGTTAGCATGCTGTAAAGGACTCCTGATTAGCTAGACATTAAGAAAATGGTGTAAAGTCCATTAAAGGGCTTGAGGAAATGTGTGAAAACTATCAAAACTTTAGGACTTTAAAGGTGATTCGTTTTCAAAATAAGGTTATGTAAATGCTACATGATGTTGTGTTTATGACCTGCAAGTTTTGGGGAAACTAACGTCTGTCTTCCTATTTTATTGGCAGAGTGAATGATATAAAAACGGGCACACTGGTCGGTGTGGATAAATATGGAAATAAATACTATGAGGACAAGAAGCATTAC